TGGAATATGCTAGGTAGGGGATCGAATATGTTAGGCAGGCGATGGAATATGCTAGGTAGGGGATGGAATATGCTAGGTAGGGGATGGAATATGCTGGGTAGGGGATGGAATATGCTACATAGGGGATGGAATATGTTAGGCAGGCGATGGAATATGTTAGGTAGGGGATGGGATATACTAGGTAGGGGATGGAATATGCTAGGCAGGGGATGGGATATGTTAGGTAGGGGATGGAATATGCTAGGCAGGGGATGGGATATGTTAGGTAGGCTATGGAATATGCTAAGTAGGGGATGGTATATGCTAGGTAGGGGATGGGATATGCTAGGTAGGGGATGGGATATGCTAGGTAGGAGATGGAATATGCTAGGTAGGGGATGGAATATGTTAGGCAGGCGATGGAATATGCTAGGTAGGGGATGGAATATGTTAGGCAGGGGATGGGATATGTTAGGTAGGGGATGGAATATGCTAGGCAGGGGATGGGATATGTTAGGTAGGCTATGGAATATGCTAAGTAGGAGATGGAATATGCTAGGTAGGGGATGGAATATGCTAGGCAGGGGATGGGATATGTTAGGTAGGGGGTGGGATACATAGTCACTCATTTGGTTTAGTCAGGTTTCAAAGTGTAAACTTGTATCTAAGATGACTGCATATCCTCACCGGTAGTTATAAATCACACTCACACACGCATGCACACACTCTCATACACACAAATTTGACTTAAAAATCCAAAAATTGACTCCATACGGCCTAACGACGTACTGTTAAAGAAACAGAACTGACCTTATATTTTGATGTAGATCTGTCACATAGAGACTGCTGAAATCCATAACATAAGGATTTGATTATTTGAATAAAGAAAAAAAAGTTTTAAATGAATAAATCTCTGGATAAAGAGGGGAAAAAAATGCAGAAACTCTGAACACTGGTGTTCTAGTTTCCTAAGCCAAGGATGCCCAACATTGTTATGGTAACAGATCTAACAGTTTTTTCCCATAACTAGCATTTAAAAGCTTCAACCTGTTGGAAGAGGATTTGTTTTTAAGTTAATATTCATTTAGGGGCTTGGATTTGACACAATTGCCAATTTAAATTTCACCTTGGGGTTAAATCTATGGGACCTTTCAAATTATATCAAGCTGAAATCTATTATCATAATTTGGGAGGACTAAAACTAGAAGAGATCAATTCAGACTTTTTATTATCAAATAGGGAACGCTGATAACATTAGCTGGTTTTTAAAACTTTGTTCTCATGTAGAGTCAGTGCATGCTGCAGATATTGTAAGAGAATTTGTTTTCTGATTTTCCTTACCAAAAATGTGTTTTTGTTAAAATCTTCAATCAATTTGTTATAGATTGTTAGGTAAAATAATTTGGAACTGTAATAGCATTTA